CACTTTCAGTGAATTTTGGATTTAAAAACCTGTTTGTTGTGAATGTAAGCAAATTATTTAGCCTTCAAATGAACACAAGTTATCTTAACTTTTATTTTCGAAATAAATAAATAATAATTCGTAATCAGAATTAAAAGTGAAGTTTATTGATATTTTAATAAAGTATTTGCATTGAAATCAAAGTCCATTTGATATTTTGAATAACACACTGTATTCAATTCAACATTAAATTATGTTAAATATTTAATATTAATTAATAAATAAATAATATAAGTTTAATAACTAAAATAAAAATATAAGATCTAATTATTTATATATCACTGGAAATTATAGTCATAAATATATGACTTTATTGAGAATATAAGTGACTTATAGCCACATTTTGTACTTTAATTAAAAAAGTGTTAAAACAGTACTCATTATTAGATAATAAGTGGTCCACAAAAATACAATAGCTTGATTTAATCATAGTCTGTATAGTGTAGGTAAATAAATAATCTATTGGTTGCTCTAAATAGCATTGTCTTCAATGAACTTTTGCTTCAAATAGAGATAGTTTTTGAAGTGAAAGTTTGCCCCATACTATTGGATACATAAATAAAATATAAAATTAGTTTCAAAAGTATTTATAAATTATGTAAACGAACCCAATGTTCACTAAAACATACCATGAGATTAGTTTTGCTAAAGACCTCCATGTCTGGCGACTGATCCATGACTAGCGATGCGGTAATAAAGTAGAGATTGGAGACCAAAGTGAAGACTTTTGTCTCTTTGATAATGTGTTGACACGAATTGCGTGAGTCCTCCGAGAATTTGTCGCCATTCAGACGAATCGATTCGCGAATATATTCCTCAATAAATGACTTCACAATGAAATCATTCGGGAAATTCTGGACACGAGTATAGCTCTCGAGTCCCTCGCGATTCCATTCGGCGAACAGTGAGCCTAAGTCTGTGCCCCGGAATCCATAGCCCGAGCACTCGAAGTCACAGAATATTATTTGATTATCATTTGGGTTATCGTTGCCATCGTTTGCGTCCAAAACCAGTATATTATTTGGTCTGAAGTCGTTGTGAACGAAACAAACGGCAGATTCTGTGGACGACATGATCTCCCGGAGCCACTCCAGCTCCAGACGTAAGCCATCGGTGGTGATTGAGTCCAGTTTTAGGTCAGCCATTAATTTGTCGATCGGAAACTTCTTGTAGGCCTTCTCCATGTTGTTGTCCAACGACCGCAATAACCAATTGTTTTTGCGATCGACCGGCGGTTTCAACGAATGAAATGTCGCCAACTTTTGGGCCAATTCTCGCACCAGTTTGGGCTCATTTTGCTCACAAACTCCGAACTGCCGGTGCTGTCAAACAATTCATTTAATTTGCTATAAATTAAT